GGTTCTGTGAGGGCCAGTCAAGTCCTTCCATACCAAACTCACCCAGTCATGCCTTTATGGAGCTGCTTTGTGCACTGGGGTTCTAGACCAACCCCTGAAAAACAACCCCATTTCATCATCCCTCCTCCACCAAACTTTACAGCTGGCACAGTGCAGTCAGGCAGGGAACGTTCTCCTGGCATTCGCCAAACCCAGACTCGTCCATCAGACAGACAGATAGGGAACCGTGATTCATCCACTGTTCCAGAGTCCAGTGGCAGCATGCTTTACACCACTCCTCCCCATATATATATATATATATATATATATATATATATATATATATATATATATAGATAGATAGATAGATATGCACAGTACTGTACATTGCTAAACCACTAAACTAGCCAGCTAATTCACAACAACACCAATATTTTCCCACATGGCATTTACCTTTCACAACATATGAATACGTATTGAGGGGTTAAGTCTAAGACCGTGTCAACAGTTAAGAAATTATACGGCCCACTGTACGGATATATTTTAGTGGTGCTATTAAGATCATTTACTAATACCAGGTTTTTAGAACATTCCCTCCCATATCATTTGTCTTTACTTCCTCTGGGGGGTTAAAGCCTTAATTAAAGGGGTCAGACTTGCCCAACCCTCCCCCCCTTTATGCGCACCTTCAGTTTACTGAAGCCTACTGGGACAAAATGACAAAATGTGCCTGAATATTCAGTCAGGTTGATTTCAAAAACCCTTAAAAACTCAAAGCTAACAGGGCATGTTTCTTGTATGGGCTCTGCTGTAATTGAGATGTGGTGTAATGTTTCATAGTTTACACAAGGGAGTGAAGGGATGCTTCTCCCAGCCCCTCAAAACACAAACACCCAACCTGTCTAGCGCTAGCTGAGCTAGGCCTAGGCTACCATATGATTTATGCTTGGCCCCCTAACCCCCCACAGTGAATTAGAGACCAGAGGTTGAGTTCATTTTTCTTACTGAGCTGCCGTGCGCTTGTGGCTAGAGTGTGAAAGCAAACACAGTCCATCATGGTAGCACACAGACTGGCACGAGCCGGAGGCACGCGGCCCTTCACTTTGATGAATATCCCCGGGTACTCACTCGAGCTCCATCACTGGGGTACGGGTGAAGACAGAGCATTGATCTGTGACTTGGCACACCAGACCTCTGGAGCCTGGCCAGCCTCATGGCAGGTTCAGCCTGAAGTCACTGGTGCTGTGATGGCTAATCACAAATTAAAGATATGCAGGTTAACAGGACAAGACAGAATAATAACAATAAAAAGAATAAAAAATAGGGGAAAGGGAGAAAACTGATATGTTGCAAATAATATATTAAAATGACTATGGGTCGATTAATTCCACAGTGTTCATTTGAGTTCTGTGCATACTATATAGACAAATGTTTGTGGACACCTGACCATCACACCTAGGATTGAGGTCAGGGCTCTGTGCAGGCCACTGGAGTTCCTCAACACTAAACTGCTCAAACCGTGTCTTTATGAAGCTCACTTTGTGCACAGGGGCTCAGTCTTTGTATGCTGCAGCATTAACATCACCCCTCTGTGGACTTGGGTCCCAAGTCCTGAAACACAGCCCAGGCTCATTATCCCTCCTCCACCAAACTTTACTGGTGAAAGAAGGATAAACTTTACTCTGTAAGGCTTTAGCATAATTCTTGAGGAAATGATGTTCACCTGGCTTCAGCGAGCAATATGACGTAATTTCAGAGAAATCAAACAGCCGCTGACGTCGCGCTGAGGCTTCGTTCGCTGTGCCGCGCACATGACATCTAGGCGAACTCCTCGGACGAACATGCTATGCAACATGTTCTTTTGTTTTTTGTTTTGTTTGTTTTTGTTTTTTGTTGTGGCACGGTGGTGCAGTGGGTAGCGCTGTCACCTCACAGCAAGAAGTGCCTGGGTTCGATTCCCGGCCGGGTGACCAGGGTCATTTCTGTGTGGAGTTTGCCTGTTCTCCCCGTGTCTGTGTGGGTTTCCTCCGGGTACTCCGGTTTCCTCCCACAGTCCAAAGACATACAGTCAGGCTGATTGGACATGCTGAATTGCCCCTAGGTGTGAGTGTGTGTGTGACTGTGTATGTATGTCTGTCTGCCCTGCGATGGACTGGTGACCTTCCAGGGTGTATCCTGCCTTCTGCCCAATGACAGCTGGGATAGGCTCCAGCGACCCAGAAGGATAAGCGGTTGAGATGATGTATGGATGTATATGTATGTTTTTGTTTGTTTTTTTGTTTGTTTTTTGTTTTGTTTTTGTGATTTATTTTTGTTTAAAAAATTAGGAATAAAATATTAGGATCCCCACGCCTTACTAAGTTGTGGTCATGCATTAGGATCTCCACGCCTTACTAAGTTGTGGTCATGCATTAGGATCTCCACGCCTTACTAAGTTGTGGTAATGCATTAGGATCTCCACGCCTTACTAAGTTGTGGTAATGCATTAGGATCTCCACGCCTTACTAAGTTGTGGTCATGCATTAGGATCTCCACGCCTTACTAAGTTGTGGTCATGCAATGGGATCTCCACGCCTTACTAAGTTGTGGTCATGCATTAGGATCTCCACGCCTTACTAAGTTGTGGTCATGCATCAGGATCTCCACGCCTTACTAAGTTGTGGCCACGACTTAATTATCTTGTTCCCACGGCTTACTAAATTGTGGCCATGCATTAGTTTTATTTATACGGGATGTCACCAGCGGGGCTATATTGATTAATATTGGTATAGAGATATCAATCTTGGTAGTTCTGTATCAGATCGAAAAACAGAACAAGTGGTATCACCCACCCTACAAGAGCCCTGTCCCAAAAGGCGCCCTTAGCCCTACAGTCCTCCTCAAACTCTGCACTCTAGTGATTTCAGCAGCCAAAGAGGATAAGAGGAATGTATTTGGGAAAGACTTGTGCATGTATAAATGTTATGTACCTCAAAGTGCAATGATGAGTTAATTTGCTTATCTAAAGTATCTCAATAAAAATTACAAGAAAAATAAAGTTTATTGACGAGGTAAATTAATAAACAATTGCATTTTAGCTCATCTCTGAATATCTTCCTGTCAGGTATGTTGGTCAGACAGCTGTAAACAAACTCTACTCTGATTGGTCCTCACCTGTTTCTCAAGCAATTTTGAGTAAGAGGCCACTGCTGAGTGTTTATGTCCCAGTCCTCACCCTAGGGCTCACTAAGAGGGGCTAGGGGGCGCCTGTGAGGGCATTTGAACTCTAAAATATGAAATGAGACGCAAATGAGGCCTGCAAGTGCGGCGATTAGAACAAGGCTGCTGTCATTAATCAACATGGCAAAATATTAGAGAACATTAAGATGAAGATCAGTGCTGAACTTGCAAAGCCATTCACATTTCCTATAAACGAAACCTGCTCATACCTGCTGTTGCTAATATGGCCAAGACACAGAATCATGCATCTTCAGAGGTCTATGCAAATACTTGCAAATAATAAAATAATAAAATTTGATAAATAATTTAAAATAATAACATTTCTTATGTTAACATGAGCTTGTTTTAGTTGTAGATGTACAACAAAAAAGTGTGTATGTATATTACAGGTTATAAAGGCTTTATATGGAGTTTGAAGATAGTTTCATAGATAATTACATAGATATGATCAAAAAATAATAAAATTAGGCTTTGTAATAAAATTTCTGCTGGTGTGGAAATGGTATTTTGCTTTAAATAAGAGAACAAAATTAAGAAAGTAGTAAGTAGTACAGTAATAATGATCAATAACTGAATGAATAACTTTTTCAGTCACTGAACAAGACATATGACCTTTTTTAATAACTTATATTATTAAATATTACATTTATATTATTAAAAGTGTTTCCTTGTTGTTTTTGTGTTGTACTGAAGTCCAATGTATTTGCATATCATTTGCATATCTTACATATCATTTACATACATGTCTTAACAAGCAGCCTGTTTATTTCTAAGGGATGGAGAGAGTTTGGAAAATGTTCATGTAAAAGTGAATTTTAAGTGATTTTGATGAATAAATCTGCACAAATGTCCTAAGCAGAGCTCTGTGAAAGAACTGAAATACAGGAAAAAGCATGTGTAGGATACGGACATCTAGTTAAGAGATGTTTGGGTCTGGATTATGTTTGTTTCTTGGATAAGGGATTTTTGAGTATGAAAAGTGTGGAAAAGTTTTAAATGAACTAAAGTTTTTTTATTTTTTTAAAAATATAAAATTTGATAAAACTCAAAGCCTGCACTGCTTACTACTTTACTACATTACTTTATTATTATTAGTATATATTATTCAATATTTTCTCTTATTTATAGCAAAATACCATTTACACACCAGCAAAACGTATTTTTTATTAGTATTTTAATTGTTTTAATTTTTTACTAATAAATGGACTAGATAAACACAATTATTATTACTATTATTATTATCATTATTATTATTATTATACTTACTTTATTATTATTACTAAATATTATTAAATGTTTTCTCTTATTTATGTTTTCTCAGAATTTACACACCAGCGGAATTTATTTTTATTAATATTTTTTAAATATTTTTACTAATACATATTCTTCTTCTTCTTATTATTATTATTATTATTATTATTATTATTATTATTATCATATTTTTTTATTTACAAAAAAACTTTATAAAACTCTTTCCTACAACATTTGACGTATAACGTATTAATTTTATATTTAATATTATGTTCCTAAATATAATAACTTATATTACAAGTTTTGAGGATTTTACAATGTTTACTGGAGTTTCAAGACAAAAAAATTCACTTTCTAATAAATTTAATAAAACAAACATAATAAAAATAATACAATTCTGGTGTTGAAATGGCATTTCGCTATAAAAACGAGAAAGTATATAATAAACTATAGTATGAATAGTACAGTAATGTAGTACAGTAGTAACGCTGAGTACTGCAGTAATCATCGAGACTTCATCCGTCATCGGACGTGACGTAGAACCGTTTCCTCTCTCAGGGCACCATCATGGCGGCGTGCAGCAGCGGCAGGGCGGTGTGGGCTGTTCTGTCAAAATGTGGGAACTCCAGCTGGACTTTATTCACACGGTCAGCACAGATCAACAGACAGGTGAGCAGACAGGTAAACGCGCTTCTGCTCGACTCCTCTGAGCGGTGTTAGTCCGGTTTACCGTTGCTGTGGTTCTGCCGGAGCGGAGATGATGTCCTTGTGTTGTAGCCGAGCTGAACCGAGCCGAGCCGGTTTCTGCGCCTCATTCAGGCTCAGAATCAGAGAATAAATTAGTGAAGAGCTGTTCAAGACAAAGGTTAAGCTTCACTGGATCTTCTGAGGGTTTTCCCCTGAACTGTTCTTGCTGACAGCGGTGAATAGCGGTGGTGAAGCCACGTTCAGGTGAAAGCCTTGTAAATAATGATAATAATTTTGTGTAAAGTAAAAGAAAAAAGGGGTTTTACGCGCTGTTCGTCTCTTCTGAGATCCTTTTGGTCTAAAATAAAACGCTTGATAATGAGAGATGAGCATCAGCCAAAAATACATTAATAAAACAAAATACAATAATCATAAGAAGAACTGAACATAATGAAATTACTTCAAAAATGAATTAGGAACATTAGGAACTAAATATAATTAAAATAGGAATGAAAAAGTTGGCTCTTTTTCCTTCCGTGCATTTGAGTACATCGCTGTTGTCGGAAGAAAACCTAGTATCTCCAAAACGGTAACTTTACAGGAAAAGGAAAAAACCTACTTTACTTTTAATGGAAGTCAATGGAACCGGAATTTTTTCCAAGTCATTTTGGGCCGTTTGTTTTGGTCCATTCATCATTAAATTTACACACAATGTAAAGAACAATGGGCTTTTTCAAATTACATCAAAAACTGAAAAACGACAAAAATGGACATACAAGGTTTTCCTCCGACAGCAGCGATAAGTAAAAGCTGTGAAGTACAAGAACTTAAAAATTGTAAGCAAGTGTCTGGCCTGGCCATCACCAGAGGTGGACAATCAGTGTCAAAGCCTTCTGACTAGTAGGTAGGATTTTGTAAGAAAACAGCAAAAACTGTTTATTTGAATTCATGTTGGTGAATAATGTTTTTCTTGGTTGCTGCAGTGTAGATTACTGTACTGTGGGTAGTTATTACATAGAGCATGCATACAGAAATTTCATGTAGTATGAAAACATGGCTAAAGTTCTAAAACTTACTACTGACTCCCCAGTTCATACCGTCCATACATGAACAAAACTGCAAAATCAGCCTCTTTGGAATCCATTGTTTTTGTGTTATATTGAAATCCTGTGTATTTGTAATGTATTACTTATCTGACATATTCACATACATGTCTTAAAGGGACAGTAACAAACAGCCTGTTTATTTCTAAGGGATGGAGAGAGGTTGGAAAATGGTCACGTAAAAGTGAATTACGAGTGATTTTGGTACGTAAACCCTCACAAATGTAATAGGCGGAGCTCTGCGAGAGAACTGAAATACAAGAAAAAGCATATTGCTGTAGAAAACCTTATATCTCCAGTTTTGACGTTTTTCAGTTTTTGACATAATTTGAAAATGACTGTTACCCTTTACATTGTGTGTAAATTTCATGATGAATGGACTAAAAAAAATGACCCAAAATGACTTTGGAAAAATGTCTGGTTCCATTGACTTACATTAAAAGTAAAGTAGGTTTTTTCCTTCTCCTGTAAAGTTACCATTTTGGAGATACAAGGTTTTGTTCCGACAGCAGCGATATGTAGAATATTTAGTTAAGAGATGTTTGTTTATGGATTGTTTGCTTCTTGGCAAAGGGGTTTTTGCACAGTTTTAAATGTCAGAATTAGAATTGGAAGGCACACTTTCCGGATCTGGAGAAGTAAGGTAGGTCCTGAAGAGTTCGCCTCATGGGGAAAGTAGGGTGGCATCTAGTGATTACCTTTATAATTGGTTGGCTGTTTCTAATCTATTGGCTGTTTTTTGATTTATCAACTTATTAACAGTAAATTTCCTGATTTAGAAAACATTTAAATAATGATCCAATAAATCTGAATTTGTAAATTAATTATCCTAAGTGTTAAATTGCTTTACTGTTCTTTTTTACTGTTTTTCTACATTACTATTTTTTTATCAGTTGAAATTGATGCTGAAGCAAAAGTATAATTGAATAAAAAGACATTATAGAGTTAAACGAAGAAAGCTTTTAATTATTTTTTTGAAGTCTCCAAACAGTTAAGTAAATAAATTATAAATGAAAAATGTATAAATAAAAACAGATTTGGCATCAGCTGGCGTAGGTCAGGAGCCGGTTAGTATTAATGCACATATGAAGATTATAATTTATTATAGATTATAATTTTATTTACAAAATTAAATACGACGAAAACTATTATTCACATCATATTTAATTTTGTGCCATGCCTGTGTGTGACATGGTACAGTTTTGTAGGTTACTGCATGTATTATTCGCTCGCTTTTCCTCTCCAGCTCCTCAGCAGGCAGATATGCGTGTCCTCGACAGTGTGGCGGAAGAACCTGGCAGCGGCTGGTCCAGAGAAGTTCTCAGAGGAGTACATTAAGAAACAGATTGAGGAGTTCAACATCGGCAAGCGGCACTTGGCCAACATGATGGGAGAAGACCCAGAGACGTTCACACAGGAGGACATAGATGTAAGATGCCCTTCTTCATAGTTTTTGGCTGTCTGTGTTTATCTTCCTTGCCAGCTTTTCCTCACCTGTACATGTAGTCTGGAAATACATATACCTGTGGTTTGCACTTGTTGGCTTTGGCTAGCTAGGTTTGGACAGTGGGCACGGGAGGAGGTCAGTGTTTGGCTCTTGCTTATAGTATCATGAACAAAGCTCAGTGAAACAGAACTGAGACTGTTTAACCGTGTTAATTAAATTGCAGCTTCATTATGACGTTATTAGTTGACTTTTAGGATTCATTACTTGTACTGCTGAACTAGTACTGCTCTGAAATTGCACAACATTTATGGGTCTTACAGGATGTAACTCGTGGGTTACTGTACTTGTTTGCTGCTATAGTCACATTAGGTGCAGTGAAAAGCCGGGGTTGCAAAGCAGCAGTTCAAGTTTATGTACCTCAACAAAGCATTGGAATCCATTATCTACCAAGAGTCAAGCAAGGTTTTGTGATAGAAATCACCTGAGTCTGTCCATCATTGAGATGCGCATGAAGGGTTAAAACTATTGTAAATCATTTAGCATTCCCACATCCTCACAGAAAAGCCAGGGCACCATTATTATTATTATTATTATTATTATTATTATTATTATTTTTTTTTGGTTAATGAATATTCATTGTTTTTTGATAACATACAGACACACTAAATCGGGGGTGTCAAACTCAACCACTAAAAGGGCCATGTTTTCGTAAATTTCAGAAATTATCATACATTTCATCAAGTTTGTGGGCCAGATGTGTTTTTATTTCAGTTTTACCTCTCGCCGTGACCCGAATGGGCCATATTGTTTGTTTAAAATATGCCAAAACTGCAACAGCAAAATAGGCACTGAATACTTAAAAATAATTCTGAATAAAAAATAAATTGTTTTAGGTAGCTTTTAAAAAAAACGTTTATTTGCTTGAACTAGACACCAGGCTTCTTTTCTTTTTGTGTAATCGCTGACCCACAGATTGTTGTTGGGGATCAGAACGCACACTGTGTTGCAGTGCATGCTGGGGACTGTAGTGCATCTCAGGGTGAAACGGGCCAATAAGAACAGAAAAGTAAAACAATTTCGCAGGACTGTGTCACAGGCCGGACTAGACCTGTGTAATTTTTGGCCCTCAGCTCACCACAAACATTGCACTTTGCGCCCCTCAAGGCAAAAAGTTTGGGCACCCCATTCTAGATCAGTTGTTTTTGTAGATGTTTTGCTGTAGTTCGTAGCTGATCTGTGTCTACAGACCTAATCAGAATCTCTTTGGAGATGAAGTTCTTTGAAATAAGCAGCCATATCCACTCACTACTCAGTGCACTGACTGCTATCAGCACAACCAGGCTGTAAACCAACTCTCTGTGCATAAAATGAAGCCTCAGAATCTTTTCTTGCCTTCCTGAGAAGCAAATTACTGTTTTTAGGCCAGTTTTCTGTGAAGTCAGTGTTCTCAGTGAGTGTACTCTGTTGGCTCACTCAATTAAAGAGAACATTGCCAGTGTTGAACTGATTAAAGAATGTGGTTATTAGCACTGAATTTTGAAGAGTGATTATGAGCAGTTATTATGAGCAGTTGAGTGACATTAGGGAAGAAGTACAATATTAGTTTAATCTTCTCAAGGATTGAAGATGTAGGCAGTCCTTGGCATGGAATAATGTACATATACCATAACAAGTACTTGAAATATCATAGCATTGCTTCCACTAATGCAAAGTTAATTCACTTTTTAATGTCATATCTAAAACAAACTGATCCTCCAAGAATTCGTCAAATGTTCAGCACAGATTAATGTAGAAGGTTATGAAGGTTAATGTCCGGAGTCATCTTCAGCAATAATGTCAGTGATTGGTACTGGAAGGTTAACCTCTAGTTAGGATTGAGCAGCATCCTGTTTCATACATTCAAACTGTCTCCAAATATCACCATGGTATTCAGCGTCACTGAGGGTGGGAGGGGTGTAAAAGCACCATAAGTAATGTAAAAGTGACATTTATGTTGCGTCTTGTCTTGTGCTATTTCACAATTAAAAATAATTTAAGTTTAGTGTACTTATGCCTTGGGTTCACTACACAACTTATAAAGTCTGAAGAGATTGTAAAAGACTGGGCGTCTCACATTATCCCACTGGCTTTTGGAGATTTTTTTGGGCGACTGAAATATTGGGGATCACACGCTAAACGATTAGGGATCAAACACTACTCAACTTTCCAGCCGCTGCTGAGACCCAAATAAACAAACGTGGAGCTGCTGCTGCCGTTTGCTCTGATTCAGTAAAGACGCAGCAGGTAAACATGTTTAAGTGGATCATGGATTTAAAAATGTGATCAGTGTGGGATTTTTAGAGTTTTAAAGGTACATAAACTCGATTGTGCCTGAAACTCAGCTCGTTAAAAAGTTGCACTCCACATCTGAGAGACTTTTTGTCATTTTTCTTTGTTTACTTGCTGTATTTTCTTCTTTTGTGCTCTCTGTTTTTATTGGTTGTTGTAGGAATCTGTTCAGATTGAGTCACTGACCACTAGATTTCACTCAAACATATTTGACAAACTCAGACTGGTCTGAAACGCGATTGGGAGGCTGTAAATCTGAGTCTGTGCCCCTTCCTGACTACTCGAATCTCTCCTACTGACCCAAACATCTGCAGACTAGAGCCAACCAGCTCAGACTCAGCCAGACTGAGAATCAGGGCTAAAATCGGGATAAAAGTCGTGTAGTGTAACCCCAGCTTTACATGATTGCCATTCAGTATCAATGTCAAACATCTATCTAGTGATTGTTAAATGGTAAACAGTGCTGCTAACTAGTACAGAGGTGTTTGGGACTGTAGTGGTTACAATAGCTTAGTTAGTTCCACACAGCACTAGTTTGGTTTCAGCTAATAGACGAACACCCATTTAGAGGATATCTCAAAGTTGAGTGACTGGTGTTTGACTGAAAGCTGAAATCTACCGTATCCTGTGGTGTATGCAGTTCTTAGCCGTCACTGAGCCGCTGTCATGCTGAGTTTTTCCCATGAGGTTTTTTTTCTGGCTCAGATTTTTCCCTTTTTCTGTTTATTTGGCCGTTCAGACGTGGAATAAAAATTTGACACAGCATAATTTTGAAATACCGTTTTATTTTTAAATATTAGAGTATATCTTATTACCGTTATGCTGCCCAGTTCTACCTTTAGTAGCTAATATTGCAGAGAAAAGCAAAGCAGTGTTATTCCACCATAAGGATTCTATTAACGTGATTCTCTATTATGGTTCTTGACGTGGGTTGAAATTGCTGAATTTCTTTTGGGAACAGACGATTCCGACCCTCTCCCATGGTCACGACAAGAGAGAAAGGAGTGTTCAACGATACTTTCATGCCCGGTCCTTTCCTTTCGAAGCTTCGTCTGTAATTGATTCATCCCACCAAATTTGGCCCAATTTGCAGCACTTTGATGTTTATCCCCAAACCTCCCACAGTCGTTAATGAATGGAGCGCTCAGCGTGAGCGTGGCTAAGAGGGAGTGACGCTGGCCGTGCCTCTGCCAGATGAGTGGGGGGTCCGCAAGCGGAAAATGGTTCGGACTGGGGGGCAGTGAGCGGGCACCGGATGGGCGTCTGAACTGGCGCTGGCACCCGCCTCGCTGCCAGCCGCGTCAGCCGACGTGATGTTCCCGCGAAAGCGGCGAAGGTGTGAAACAGCTGCACGGCGAACGCTGCCAGCAGGAAGTAATTAATGAAGACGGCAAGCTTCACCTGCCTTCTCTCCGCTGTCACACACATACGCACACGCGCATCCCCTCATCAGGTGGGTTCAGAGATCTTGGAACTCGGTGCCAAGACCAGTGATGACTGTGATGAAACCTCCACTGATGCCTTTACATGGCAAAATGAAGGTTCTTGAGAAGGCGTCGATCCGATGCCGGTATTGGGCTGATATCAGCAGAAAATGCTGGATTAGATATCTGAGGGAGGAGAAGAATGAATCGGATCCATTACTGTAACAAATGTATCCTGAAATAGCACATGCTCACCTTGTGTGATGTGATGTCGTTAGCTGTGTATTTGTTCCTGTGGAGTAGTAGAGTGTTTAAGTAGTGAGAACATGATACTTTTAGATGCTTAAGTGAAGTGTTTCTATTAAGAATGGCTGCTTTTAAAGCTTAGTAGTGTTTAAAGAAGAAATGTTGAGTTGAGATCAGTATTGACTGATATATTTAAATGGGAATTCAACTGATTGATCAAAACGGCTGTGTAATTCAGTCATTCAGAGTGGTTTGATCCAAAATGGTTCATCGTAGGTGAAGCTTACCGCTTTCTTTACAGTGGTGGTGATAGGAACCGGGGATCACAAAGTCCATGGTGCAAATGTAGCCTGTTCAAAACCACCAGTGAACCTACAAGTGTTCTCTGAGTTTTGTCTGATCCACTCAGACCAGCGCAACACTCACTAACACACCACCACCACGTCAGTGTTGCTGCAGTGCTGAGAATGATCCACCACCCAAATAGTACCTGCTCTGTGAGGGTCCATGGGGGTCCTGACCACTGAAGAACAGGGTAAAAGGGGGCTAACAAAGTATGCAGAGAAACAGATGGACTACAGTCTGTAACTGTAGAACTACAAAGTGCACCTATATAGTAAGTGGAGCTGATAAAATGGACAATGAGCGTAGAAACAAGGAGGTGGTCATAATGTTATATGGAGGCTTTTGGGAAGCTCTCTAATTCTCTGTCAGTTCTCATTGCCAACATCACCATCTTGTCAGTAATTGCCGATATCTGATTCTGTCAGCCATCACGCTGTCACCAAAGCCTGGTTCCTACTTATAGGTCTCAGCATTCAGAGTGACACTGCTGAACCTTTCGTGGTCATATTTCCAACAGCTCTTATGCGTTCATCAAAACAGGAATGAAGCTGTTTATATGGCGTTAGCTGATGTGGCCTCTAATTTGGACCGTATTTGGTTTTCATTAGCAGTCTTGCCCTTGTCACAGCGGACGGTCAGCGTCCTTCACAGCTTCTCTGGCCGCTGTACTGTGCAGTCAAGTTTCTCAACAAAGTTAGAAGAGGTGGCTGGTGCTGTAGCTGTATGCGGTCTTATATCGCCGGCCTCGTGTGAAGTTTAGTCAGCGGAGCTCGGTGGAGTGGTATGACGAGGCTATACCTCCCTCAGGGAGTTGTGCCATATTGCCTTTCAAGGTATTAACAGGTGCTGCCTTCATCTGCCACTGCGTTCTGCATCCTTCTCCCTCTCTGTCTCTCTTCTCTCCTCTCTCTCTCTCCTCTCTCTCTCTCTCTCTCCTCTCTCTCCATACTTTTCTCTCACTCACTCACACTCGCTTCTTTTTCTTGCTCTCTCTTCCTTCCACACTCTCTCGTTCTCCAATTTTGACAGCGTGATACATGACTGCGTGTCCTTTTCCAGTGCATCTGCTGTCATCTCACTTCACCCCCCTCTCTTTCACCTTTTTCATTTCTTTTTTTGTTTTTTCCCCCACGTGTTCATAAATAACCCAGTGTGTATTATTTGTCACAATTCATATTGTCACAATATCTAAAAGGCAATTTTATTAACACTTGTTTCTACATAGTCTCTCATTTTAGGGTTGGAAATAATAACGTATTTTCAATTATGTTGTATCTCTCTGTGTTTGTTTTTGCAGAGGAGCATAGCGTACCTCTTTCCCTCCGGTCTGTTTGAGAAACGAGCACGGCCTGTCATGAAGGTAAGCTTTACATGTCATTTCTTTAAAAAGAAGCATAAACAAATGGATATCGGTATCGATAGTTATCAGTATCAGGCTGATATCAGCAGAAACTGCTAGATCGGATATCGAAAAAAGAATGAATCTGAAGCCTGAAATAGCACTCAGTCACTTTGTGGTTGGCTGACTTCTTCCTGTTGGGGTATTTAAGGAGTTTAAGCATGAAAGTCTACGTTTATATCTGTGGTGAAGTGCCTCCATTAAACATAATTCTTTTTTAAAGGCATAGCCTGCACTTTTCTTATATTGTATTATTTACGCCTGAGGTCCTTTTATGACTTCTGTGAGGTTGAAAATGCCAAAATTAAAATATATTTTTGGACATTTTCCACACTCTTTCTGTTTCTCAGCCAAACGTTTGTAGTCTGAATGAGTGGAGATATATATATCTGTCTGTGTGTGTGTGTGTGTGTGTGTGTGTGTGTGTGTATGTGGATCATCCTGTCGAATTCAGGGTTAAAAACACATTTCAGTTTCAACTGACTTTAGACAGAAATCCTTTAGCTTTGAATGACTCTACAATACGACTCTACAAAATACAACTCTATACAAAACTCTACAAAAATGACTGCAGTAATCATGTTTATTTTATTCCAATTAATAATTGAACATTGCATTTTGCCACTACCAAAACAATCATAACACTACTGAAAATTTACCAAATGTTTCAGTAGTGACTGTTTCGGTAGTGAGGAGTTTAGCTAATTTTGAGCAGAACTCAAAAACACTAGCCAGAACATGACTAGCGAACACAGCCTCGAACAGTTGGACACTCATAAAATCAAAATAATAATAATTTCACAAAATGTGTTTCATTTCTTAATGTTCCATACTGACTTTGAGACACATTTAACTTCAAAACAATGAGATCTAACTGCTCACCATGTGGCCTTGAGGGACAGGGATGCAGCCTCACTTCCTGCTCTGAAGTGCAGGGGCGTGGCTAAAATAAGAGTCCCACTATGAACAAAAGGTCTTTGTGTTTCGGTGGTGACTTGAAAATGTGGGACAGCATTTTTGAATAAAGGTTATAAACCTTTGATAAATCTAAATCTTTTGACTTCACTTTAAAAGAAATTTTAAAAATATCTGATAAAATACAAAAAAATTAAGAATTATTTTTAAGTTGAAATTTAAAGGTTTGGGTTTGGGATCGCCACCTCCCAATAGAAAGTATGCCAAAAATTAATGATTTTGTATAACTTTAGCTTATTACTGTCTCAATTAATCTCTTGGGTTTAAAAAGATCATAACATAACCTGAATTCGTAGTAGTTTTTTTTTTTTTGATAAAGTTTCAATAACTGTATGGGTGGGAGGAAAAGTGGTATTATGTCAAATTTACATCATACACTCACGTAATTCCCTTCTGTCTATTTTTCAGCACCCGGATCTATTATTCCCAAAACAGGCAGGTATGTGCAAATGAGGCTCAGTTGTAATTCCTGATTAGTTAAATTTGAGCATAACCTTTCAAAGAAGAGAACAAATGAAACAGATCCTCTGATTTTGATGGATTATAATGGCTGCTACTCTAAACTGAACTGACCGCCAGCATGCGCTCTTGTGCAGCGATCCAGTGGGGTGAGGATGGACGTCCTTTCCACTTCCTGTTCTACACGGGCAAACAAGCCTACTACTCACTAATGCACGTGAGTTAACTCTCTCTCTCTCTCTCTTTCTCTCTCTCTCTATGTTGAAGTAGTAGTTTATTCATCCATCCATATAACTTTCTGACTCTTTCACATTCTGTAGCTTTGTATGGTCACTTTATTAGGTACACCCACATTGTATTTACACTCTTTGTCCATTTTATCAGCTCCACTTACTATATAGGTGCACTTTGTAGTTCTACAGTTACAGACTGTAGTCCATCAGTTTCTCTGCATACTTTGTTAGCCCCCTTTTACCCTGTTCTTCAGTGGTCAGGACCCCCATGGACCCTCGCAGAGCAGGTACTATTTGGGTGGTGGATCATTCTCAGCACTGCAGTAACACTGACGTGGTGGTGGTGTGTTAGTGTGTGTTGCGCTGGTCTGAGTGGATCAGACACAGCAGTGCTGCTGGAGTTTATGAACACTGTGTCCACTCACTGTCCACTCTATTAGACACTCCTACCTTGTCAGTCCACCTTGTAGATGTAAAGTCAGAGACGATAGCTCATCTGCTGCTCCACACAGGACGCAGTTGGCTGGATATTTTTGGATGGTCGGCCATTCTCAGTCCACTGAGACACTGAGGTGTTTAAAAACTCCAGCTGATAAAATGGACAATGAGCGTAGAAACAAGGAGGTGGTCATAATGTTATGCCTGATGGGTGTAGGCGCACTTTGTAGTTTTACAGTTACAGACTGAAGTCCATCTATCTCCATGCATAAAACCTCCAGCAGCACTCCTGTGTGTAATCCTGCAGTGCTGAGAATGATCCATTACCCAAATAATACCTGCTCTGTGGTGGTCCTGTGGGGTCCTAACTGGTGATGAACAGTGAAATGTTGTAGATAGACGACATTCTGTAACTGTAGAACTACAAATGAATTCATCTCGTTTGCCTTTTGGAAACCCGGATCCTCCTGTTTATTGGCTCCTGTTTTTCGGGATAAACGTTTGGAGGTGTTGGTGTTTGAGAAGCTCAGTTTTAAGACGTTGTCCAGTGCTGTGTGGGTCGGTGCTTTTGTCTGCCCGATAATTGAAGGGTGGAGGTAGATTAGATTGGGGAGCGTCAGGCTCTGTTCCCCTGGAGGTGATGGGGTGATGAGGATGGGTCGGGGGGGGTTTGTTGGGTGGTGGGTGCTTGGTTGGGGCAAGTGGGGGGGGTTATCTTCTTATTGCCTTCCCCTCCTCCATTCTCAAATATTGAGAATATTTTTATTACTATTTTCTATTACTTACTTTTATGAAGTGTATAAGCATGGCGATCTTGATGTTCATTGTATGTTATACACATGTGAACAATAAAATAAAGTGACAAACTTAAAACAGTGCATCACATGGCATAATGTCCATTGTCCATGGTGCATTGTCACAGTTTTCCATTGCAATATCATGATATTCTGACGCATTATTAAACCCCCAGATGAAGAATTGTTTTTTCGGCAGTGTTGAACTTGAGCATGTTAGCTAGGTAAGCAGTAGCTTAGGTTAAGTACTGAAACAGGTCAGCTAGGTTACCTCAGTGCGGAGAAACAATAGAGCAAGCTGATGCTGTGTTTACATGGTGGTGTCATTACGTGCCCTATTGCATAATTTGTCAGCAACGGTATCGACAGCATATGGCCGAAAACATGTTGGGCGTGACAACAATACCAAGACGTCGTAATGATGGAGGTTGATGAAAATTGGTGAAGTTTCTGGCAGCCACTAATTTGTTTGAAGGCAACTTGAAGTCAAAATGGACATTTTTTTTATTATTTTTTTTTACCTTGTTCGTTCATGTCCTTGGTCATATTAAATATAATCCATCGTGTGATCATAAAAAAGACAGAATTCTTGTTTCTCTGTAAACTTTGATCGAAGTGTTGACTTTTGCCTGCCTCTAAATGCTCAACATCTTAGACCTTCATCGCACACTGAAAAAAAAGTGGTGTGTACTTTGGTTCCACACAAATGAAGTTTGTTACGTCAAATTATGTTAATTAAGTCCTTAAACATAGGAATTATAGTGATGTAACACGTTTCATTTATGTGGAGCCAGTATACAGTGTATACAAGTAAATTTAAAGCAACCTCTAAAGCATTTGTTTTTTCAGTGCACCACCCCAACCTCCCTGTCGGTTCCCAGCTGCACGTACATGTATGTCAGCAGCCCAACCTCCTTTCTTTTCATGACTTTCCTCTCACTTTCACTTTCAGGACCGCTTGTAAAAGAATCACTTAAGTCATTTCAGGTAATTTACCCTGGCAAACCGTGTTCATGTTAATTAGGGCTGAACGATTTGTGGAAAATATCTAATTGTGATTTTTCTGCAGTTTAAATTGCGATTTTTTTAAAAAAGTTGAGATTCAGGCCTGATTTATTTTGGCCATGAACACCAGAACATCCACATTGTTTCGTCTTGAGGCTCGACCCCTGAACGCAGTGCGTCAACTGCTAAGTCGTTGTGATCACACAGTGTGCCTCTGATGGCAACTCACCTACAGGCAGTTCACAAACTCCTATTAGGCTCCGTTTCCCCTCTTAAAACGTAAAACAACGTTTTTGCTGATTTACACACTCAATAAAGATGGTTCTTCAAGGGTTCTTTAGTAAAGACTGTGGTTCTACTGTGGTAGAACCGTGAGGACTTAACAACCCATTTGCAGGCATAAAGAGTTCTGCGCATGGTGACGTGGTTCTTCAGATTGATGGAGAATGTGTTGTATATGATTCTATATAGAACCTTTTTGAAAAGAGTTCTCTATAGGACCGAAATGTTCTCCTATTGTTATAAGATTGACATCAACAAGCAACAAAGTAACAATACCAGAACCCTTTTTGATGCTGTACAGAACAACATACAACACATTCTCCAAACTGAAGAACCTTTTCGCCATGCAAAGAACTTTTTATGCATGCAGATAGGTCTGAGTGTTCATGCTTCTATATAGAATGGTTGTCTTTACTAAAGAACCATTTTTTTAGAACCTTATAGAACATAATTTTTAAAAGTGTAGGCTGTAATTAAAGAAAATTGCAGATCTTGCGATTTGAAAATTGTATTGTTTTAAATTGCGATTTCGATATAAAAACAATGAATCTTTCAGCCCCAATGTTAACACTAGTGCGGTCGTTCAGATATCTGGTACTATTTGCACTGTGCTCTTAAATTTTCTACCACACGGTGAGGCTGCAGGGTTGGTCAGCACAGACACAGTCCATCTGCTGCTCACACACTTTAGGAAGCTACACTCGTACACAGATTTATTTTAACGATAATGTTGCTTCTTTTTTCTCTTGCTTTTGCTGTGGAAGTGAAAGGAAAACGAAAGCAACATGATGCTACAAGGCTGACATGCCAACCAGCATTTTGCTTCGTCTGCATCTTAAAAGTAAGAACAAACATATTAAAGTCGAAATTTCAACAAATATTGAATGTTTCAGAAACTACAGAAAATGAACAATGAAAATAGTCATTTTATGACAAAAATCTGTTTATTTATTTATTGATTGATTGATTGATTTTTACATTTGGCTTTTCGTTGACCACCAGAGTCTAAATCAGTTGTTTTCTTGCCTGAAAAGCCTGTTTCCCTCAGAAATACATGACGTTAAGGAAGAAAAATGCATTCTCGTCCCCGATTTAAGATGGAAAAAGGGCACAAAGACACAAGAACTCGGTGCCTTTGAGTTCTTCCTGTATTATAAGAACACGTTACATTTTGCGAATCATTGTTTTTTTTTCCCCTCTTAGCAGAAATCTTTGAAGGAGCCTGGCTTCGTAGTGAGGAGGCCTAGACGGTTCCCCTGTAGCTGCAGCCCTGTTATACACTCACCAGCTACATGCTTCAAACTTCCATTTGCAGAATTATCTCCACTGGTCAAAATGAACTAATAAGTAAATGCATAAAGTATTAAGTAAAATTACTTTATGCGTTTAGGAAGCTACAATTAAAAGTCTTAACTGACCAAGAGCGCTTTGACTGACGTGAGCCGGCTCAGTGCTACAGCTAGTAAAGCGTCAGGAAAAGATGAAATTGAGGAAAAGGAGACGACGAGTAGACAGGAGAAGAGAACACGAGAGGAGTAGATTCAGCAAGAGCGTTTGAAAAGGCCGAGAGAGAGAGAGAGAGAGAGAGAGAGGTGTGTGTGGTTAAGAGAGGAGATGGGGTTGTTCACTGTGACGGTCTTCTGTTTCTCCTCCCCAAATCGCATTTACAGCAGGGAGCAGCACACACTTCACTAGGCACGCCTGGGCTTTGTGCTATTACAGACGGGTCTCTGTGTGTGCGCTATTACAGGGGTACAGCTGTGCTTTGGGGATTTTGGGGAAGGAGCCCCAGAGACGGCGGCGTTCTCTAACCGGCTCTTTGTCACCTCAGCTAATTCCTTTTCAAAGTTTTTGCCTTCTGCTTTTTTTTATGCATATCTCCTTCTCTCCTTCCCCTCTACCATTTATCTTTTGGAGTCGACCTTGGGCTAAGACGTGGCGCTGGAGCGCTGTGGATCCGTGCGTGCGCGGATGTGTGTGTGTTGACTAATGTGGCATTGTCCTCGGCTCGCCCGAGCCCCCGAGCCTCCCCTTTGCCCGGCAGTAGCGGGGACCCCTGCTGTTAATTTAAATAGGTGTGTCAAATCGGCCGCGGCGCTCGGCGCTCCGAATCAGCCTCGGAACACGAGGAGGTGCCGCACACCCTGAAACCCCACTGCGGCCGCAAAATAATGTACAGCTCCCCAGCCGACTCACAGCAATATTTTACTGGAATGAGAGGAAAAGAGAAGCACACACACACACACACACACACACACACACACACACACACACAACCGCACAACCGCACAAGCAGCGGGCACGTTCGAACCCAAGTTAGTACTATTGAACATGCGCTGCCAATGCATCCAAAAGCTGCAATGCTACAGTTTTTAGGGGAATATGTAAGGTTTCCTCCCTTTTGCTGAGTTAATCCCTTAACCCTTTAGAACATAAGCATAAAAGTGGCTGGCTGAGCATGTCTT